GATCAGGCTAAAAGTTCTGAAGGAATTTGAATGAGATTTGGTATACAAGTAGGTTATGACCTAGAGTAAACATGCAGGGATAGTTTTTATGTCGGATAACGACCTCCAAGGGGGTGTCATAACAGGAAATTTTTCTCGACGTGGTTGTTAATTTGGTTGCTATAAGCTGTTTGGGAGGAGTAACTGTTAGCAACCGATTATTTATTAAAATAAACATAAACATCTATACATTAATAAACTGTTTGTGTGTAGATTAGACCTCTGGGAAGAAGATAGGCTGATTTAATAAGTGATCAATTTGATTTTTTTTTACTCGTCGGATTTTAGTACGGTCAGTTTAGGTTAGGATATTTTGTATTAATTGATTATTTTAATCCACCGTAGATTTAATTAAATAAAAATTACAAACTTGGTATAACTTTGATACTTTAGAGTTAAATCATACACTTGAGTACAAACAGTTCGGGGTCCGCGATCTACTGCACGTAGATTGCCTACCTGATAACGTACTGCTGCGTATCAGAATTTTTATTCCGGGCAACGGTTAAGTTAAGATAAGTTTGCCGAACACCATACACCCAATATTAAATTACGAGTTACGTACAACTATCGATATATTGATTTATAATGCAGGTACGTTATGAGAAGCAATTTGAGTAGAAAAAGGTCACCCACCTAGATTTGGGAGGCAATTCGAGTGTCACCTTAGAATCAATGGCAATACCTAGACACTTATATTATAGTTATGAAGACAACCCGCGAGTTGTTGTGCGTTATTAACGCTTTGGATGTTATAATGGAGATAAGAGGGTGTTTGGGAATTATCAGACCAACGCAACAGGTGTTAGAGAACCCTTCGTGACATATGGCCCGAATAGCCGAATCAGGCACTTAGTTGGCAAAACAAAATTGTTTGCATATAGTATTTAAGTCTGGAAATCTTAATATATTTATAAGAAGTTTTAAATTATCCTAATATAATATTATTTACTATGATGTATGATTATATTAATATTTTTTTTTTTTTTAATGCTTGATAAATTATTAAATTAAAAAGTCACACTTAGTTAAGCTTTTTTCCGTTCATATATAACTATAAAATTCAAATCATCATAAGCGTATTATTTTACTCTGTACCTATATTATTCATAAGTTATGAACATGCAATAATTGCTCAATGCGTACATTAACAAGGTACTGAATTTATACTCAACAATATAAAATTTAGCCAAATGCCTATATTATTATACTATTATAGTGATCGATGTTCAACATAATATAATTGGCAAAAGTATAATACAAACGTTTTGTACTGAACATAGAACAATATATTTATTTTATAATATCTCTAAATCATAATTTAACACAAGAAACAAAAATATATATAATAAGGTAACTATATTCTAACACTGAACAATAATAATAATTATCATATTATACACGATAGTACGTCTTGAGCGACGAAATGTACAATTAATATATTATATTAGTTTAAAAACGCATAATAATAATTTATGTTTCAAAACATAAAATGCGCTATTTTTTTTTTTTTTTTTTTTTAAAATAAGGCAAGAGTCACCTACATAATAATACAGTATACTTATTAAAGCTATTAACAAACACAATACACAGTAATAATAATAATAATGATTATAAAAAAGAAATAAAATGGTAAAATATACATTTCAAACCCTTAAAAATTAAGTAAAATGTCTATCATAAATTATAATAATAACGTAATGTGATGTGTTTTTTTACTGTCGGCATAAATCAACAACAATAATATATTATTATTACAGTAGAACTTCGATTAACCGTCACTGTCGGGACCGGGGCTATGACGGTTAATCGAATAGACGGTTAACGGAAATTTTGCAAAAAAAAAAGTGTAAATACATATACATACACACATTTATTATATTTTATAATTTTATTATATATTTATCATATTTTACGTGTGTACTTTAAAAAAAAAAAAATACTTACATTGTAACAAATTATAAACATACATACCACACACATTATAATAAAAAATCTGTCATTTTAGTTTGGTTTTTTGATTCTCTAGCTTTTTTAGCAGCAATATTACGAATTTGACGTAGAAGTAAGACTTGCGTAGCATTTTGTAGCACTTGATAGTTACTGTGTTGGGCACGAGTTTATCGCGATCGTCCAATTATTTTTTTTTTTCGGCAGTGACCGATGACGGATAACAGAGAGTGACGGTTAATCTAAGTTCTACTGTATTATTTTCCCGTCGTCGACATATTTTGAATTTTAAAATTTCTAACAGTGTTTGTCACGTCCATGCAGATATCGTTTTTGGATTATATGCAGGGTGTATAATATGGGTAGAGAAATAAGTCAAATCGCGCGGTGTATTATAATAATATGGTCGAATGAACTGAATATCGGTTATTGTATAATATAATAATATTTTCGTTGTACAATATAAATCATAATAACATCATAGGAACTTTTTTAATTGGTACGCGAATTATTTTTTTTAGATTCTGAGCGGAGCGATGAATGTATTGGTTTTACAATGATGTGTGTTTTTATATTTTTATATTTTTATATTTTAATATTTTTTTTTGTGTCTGTCATCACGTTTTGGGACAGTAAAAGTGCTTCGATTTTCTTCAATAGTACCTTTTCTGATAGGAAAGTGAATCTAGTTGGTACTTTGGGGGTCAAAAGTAAACATTTTCCAGTAGTTTTCACAAGCGCCGGGAAAAACAACATAAAAATTAAGGAAAAACGGGAATTTTTACGCAAAATCGATTTTCCAAAAAATCGAATTTGTTTTTTGGTGTAACTTTAAAACAAATGACCGTAGATACATGAAATTTTCACTGGTTGTTTATATTTGCATTTTATATACACGATAACATTTTCAAAATATTTTGATTTATTTTGAACTGTTTAGGGACATTTTCATTTTTCATTTTTTTTTAGTTTTTTTTTTAGAAATATCAATACAATTTTATTTGTTGATTGCGAAAGCTTGAAAATTTAATAGAAGGCTCCTAATATGTTGTTTCAAAGGCAGATGAAAAATATTAAAAATCATTAGTCACAATTTTTTTTATAAGCATTTAAAGTTCAAAAATTTACAAAATATGGAAAAATCACGAAAATTAGCAAATTATTTTGAGTTAAGAATTCGTAAAAATTTTTCTTTTTAAATCTAAGATTTGAAAATGAAACACAAGATTCCTTATAAGATTATCTACCTTTATCAATAAAAAAATCTCTACCGGACAGTCAAATTAAATTTTTATGAGCGTTTGAAATTCAAATTTTTACAACATTGGATATTCACTCGATTACTCATGTAGCGATTTCCTTATTTTGTTGCAATTCAAAAACGAACAACTGTAGATACATGAAAATTTCACTCAATGTTTAAATTAGCATTTTCTATACACCATACAATTTTGAAAATATTTTGACTCTTTTTGAGCTGTTTATGGACATTTACAGCTTTCAATTTTTTTTAGTTTTTTTTTCTATAAATATCAATAAAGTTTTATCTGTTGGGCCAAAAAGTGTAAAAATTTAATACTAGGCTCCTGATATATTGTTACAATATCAGTTGAAAAATATTAAAAATACATAGGCACAGTTTTTTTTTATAAGCATTTAAAGATCAAATTTTGACAAAATTTATCAAAATCTCGAAAATTATCAATCATTGTAATTAATAAATTATAAAATTTTCAGTTTTTCTAGCTAAGGATTGCAAATTCCACACAAAGGTTCTCATAAATAGTTCATACTGTAACCAAAAAATCTAAAAAATATATGAACACAGTTATTTTTTACAGACATTTTAAATTCAAATTTGGACGAAATTACATATTAAAAAACCTAGAATAACTATTTTAGTTATTTTGTTGTGATTGAATAATATTATTCGTGGATACTTGAAACTTCTAAAGTGTACTATTATATATCTATGATAGTATCACGGTTTTTGTTGATGTATAACGCGTTATAAGTACCTAATGGATATTTTGATATGATTAATTTTGGAATTTATTATAGGTACTTACCTATTATAGGTCAAATTTTGGTTTAGTACCATAGATATGTATAATGTATATAATATGTCTTATACCTAGACTGACATACTGTCTCCGCTCAGAATCATTTTTCTTATACAATGATATTATATCGTTGAATTAAAATTTAATATCATCCATTATACAGTGACCTACTTGTAACCTACTGTACAGCAGAGCGACACCCACTTGCTCACCTTTTTTTTTTTAAATACAATCGAAAACTATACCCTGTTTTGATTGCACTGTTTTGCTGGAGTTATTGTACCGATACACCGCACACAGTTTCGCGTGTACGATATAATAATAATAATAAAATATTATAACGATAATAATACTACCGATAATAGCGTAGTATCACTGCGTCTGTGTTTTTATTCGTAAGCAAAAATTATTCGTAATAATCATGACCTTTACGAATTCGTTAAAAATAAAAATAAAAAAACCGATAAGAGTTTTGTGTTTTCTAGGAGGTCGGAAAGGGAGGGGCACGCGTGGATACACGTACCCCGATCAGTCTACTGTTTTGTAACAACGCGGTCTAGGTTATATAGTAATAATATTGTGTACAGTTAGAACATTCAAAATAAAATAATGATAATAATATAATAATAAAAAAAAAAAAAATTATATAATAATACAATGATACAAATATATAATATTTGAACGCGTCCATCGCGACTCGTCGTCCGATTATCGTATGACACTCGTATCATAACATTTAATAATATTATGTACAATATTGAATAATATATTACACAGGTATATAGGTACCTATTTATAATTAATACAATAATTATTATTGATGGTATTATATCATTACAATACTCGGAAATCGTTTACGGGAGAACGATTAAATATAATATAACGATAATAATAATAACAACAATATATTAAAAAAAACAAAACCAATAACAATCAGCGGCGCCCGAGTCATACTTTGCTCTCGGGACCGTCAGCCGAGTGTTCGAAAGATTTTCGTATCGCCGACAAATATTTGGAAGTGATGTGTCCGTATATCTTGTTGTTCCACTCGCACGTCCTGCCCCTGAAAAATGACAAAGGTGTCGTTATTATCGTATTTTGTTTGTTTAAGTTTCAATTATAGTACAATATAATATAATATGTTTTTATTTTAGAACTTTCAGCTGATAACTATTACAGTTCATCAATTATTTAAAATATAATAATATGTTATTATGATATACTTCGTAATACATTAACATTTGAATGGTAAACACAAAAGTAATTGTTGAACTGCAATTTTATATTATTCCACGCCATATTATATTCTAGTCTTTTTTTATTATTATTATCAAATATTCAAATCGTGACGGAATATAGTGGCACGTATAGAAATATTATTTTCCTTCGTCTATACGCCCAACACTAATAAAAAAATAAGTATTGATTAGAATTAAAAAATATATTTTTGTTATTTTTGCTTAATCATTTTTTTTAGAAAAAACCCGGCACAATAATGGGAGCTACTATTTTACTACTAAAATATTATATGATAAATATTTTCTATTAGTATGAGAAATATTATGTCTATTTATTTAAAAATATTCATAGATAAAATTATAATAATATGATAAAAACATAAAAAAATAAAATACCACGTTGCAGGACATTTGAATATTTCCATACTTAGATCAATACTTTTTCATATACACGATGAATAAAATATGCAAATACTTTCAGTGTTTTGCGACATGGGTAAACACTAAACACGCGACAATGATAAGGAAAAAATTTAAAACCATGGTTCTACAGAGTATATTCCCAGTAATCATTTTCTAAAATAGTAATATTTTGAAAATATAATGGAGATTCGATGCAAACTATTTTTTTGATGTGGAGCGTCACTTTATTATTCTATCACGCCTATATAATTATATGGGTTACAGTTTGTTAAGATTAACAGGGTAGAACAATTTTTCGGCATCGGTCGATCGTAACAAACGAAAAATGTCATCGAAAACCGATTTATTCGATGGGTTCGATCTGACAGAAAGGATGAAAATCGGTTGCCACCTGCTCAGGTCACTCATATTTGAGACGGAGCTTTAACTGCAGATATCTATCACTAACTACACTTATCAAAATTTGGAAATATAAAAATTATGAACCGCAATGAATTCAAATTTCAATTCTATTTTTGTCTTGAATTTGAATTTGGTATTTAAAATGTATAAATGTATGAAATGTTCAATCTAAATGTATCATAACAAATTTAAACATGATTTCAGATTGTCTATCAGCTCTATAATAGCCTACGAAGAGAAGGCACACAAGACCGCCAAGAATCGCAAAAACAGTTAAACCAAATGGTACACTCACTTTGTGTCGACTCGCGACAAATGCAGTACTCGGGATCGGCCCGAACCACACGGTTCGATCAGGTACCTGGAGGCGAGCACGATGCCACGGACCGAGCCCGCCGCCGGTTGCTTGGCGTCCGGGTGTTCGACGGACGTCTCGACGACCGCGCAACCGCCCCGGTTGAGATCGGTTCGCCACGACCTGACCACGCAATAGTCCTTGTCCGGATGAGGGGCCATCGCCGCGACCGCGTACTGGTACAGGTCGGCGCGAGCGTCCATCTTGGCCACCACCCTGGCCGACACCAGGTCGGCGTCCCACACGTGCCTCTCCCACAGGATCCGGGCGAGCACCTCGGCGGGCGGCGCCTCTACTTCCGTGCACACCCGCCACAGCCGCAACGGGTGTCCGTCGCCGACCTTCTTGTACGATATGTCGACGTTCTCGAAACTGCCCACGGCCATCCATCCCCTGTTCCTGAAAACACACGTAGGTACCGCGTTTAATATTATTTACATGACAGCGCCCAAGTTGTAAATTTTCAGATTAACATTATATCTGCAGGTCGTATGATTATATAATATCTAATATTTTAATCCTCTATATATATCAAAAAAGGCAATGTTTGTGACGTTTGTGTGTTTGTGTCCGCGAAAGCGATTCACAGCCAAGTTTATCACACTCATTATGGTTTTGAAATTTAGGCTAAAAGAGGGGTAATCCTGTGTGCCCTAGGATGATGATGTGCACCTCGAAGGGCGATTTTAATATTTTACATACCTACCCCTCTGTGTTATTCCTTATAATATGATGTATATAATATTGTTGTTATTAAATAACATTAAATTAAGTTTAGACTTTAGACGAGTAAATATTATAGTAATTAGTAATTACTATTATAGAACATACTATTATTACTTATACCAACTTGTACTAGTTCATAGACAATACTACAATAGTAAGTTGTACTATATTTGTTCGAGCTCTTTACAATACTATATATAATATATAAAGTGAATAATACACTACCTATGTGTATAGAATTGGTAAAAAGAAAAATTTGAAAAAGTTATAGCATGTACTTTTTGAATGTTCATGGTGACTTCCTTTATCTATCTATATTATGTAGTCACTAGAGTTGGTTTTTCTTTTATTAACTATCGTTTTTGGTTAGGTATTGCAATGTATATAATATCGAGCATATATAATATACATTTAGGATTACAAATTAGACTTCTTGCTTACTTGTCTTTAGCTTCTTTAAGCAACACCGACCAGTGTTTGGAAAGAACGTCGTTCATGAACGCACGTTCACGCGTTCACGTTCATATATAGTGAACGATACGTGAACGTCACTCGTTTTTTGCATATAGAACGTGAACGTGAACGACGTTTATATTTTTGATGAATTTGATGAATTTTTAAGACGTTCAATTTATTTACCATTTAATAAATATTATATGTATAAAATATATTAATTAATTATATTATAATAATAATATTTTCATTTTTCCCATTATAATTCCTATAATATTCGTTTGATTGCAAAATATATAAATTAAATACGGGCAATTCCAGTGTCCCCGGCTAGACATACATAATATTATGATTTCCACGAATTCGTAATAAACCCATACGGCATCTAGCGGTTAATAATAGTATGAATTATGTTAGCATACAAATTTTTGTGTTATGCCGTATCCATAATATGTTTAATATCTATGAATATTTTAAATTTAATTTTAAATCAGTATGATCATTATAACTTATAAGACATAAATATTGAAATGTCCCCGTTTTGCCACATGGCCCCCCCGTTCTGCCCCACTTTCCCCTATATGCTCTAAATTGTATTTTTATTTTTTGTTTGAGTCGTATATGTTTATGGGATTTTAATTTTTATATTCATGGCAGGCCAACGATTCATAAAAAAAAATTAAATGAACGCGACCCATCGAACGCGTTCGGTTTTTAAAAGAACGTGAACGTGAACGCGTTCGTTTAAAAAAACACGAACGTGAACGTGAACGAGTTCCTTTTTGAAGGACTGAACGTGAACGTGAACGAGTTCATTTTTTTCGTGAACGTTCCGAACACTGACACCGACGTACACACGTTCAGGTATCCTCTCCAGTCGTGGCCCATTTCCGCTCCTAGTTCTACCAGGCTTATTGGTATGATTTCGTCCATGTAGCTGAAGTGACACTGACTCATGATTTCATCTGACATCCAGTCTTGTAAAGAATACTTTTATTTTGTATTCGGAATACATATTCCGAATAAATGAGAATTAAGGTATTCAGAATACGTATTCGAATAGTTCTTAAAAAATATATTCAGAATACATATTCGAATACTTTAAAAAGTATTCGAATACTATTAGAATACTTTTTTTCACAAATAATTGTTGTCAGTTTTTGAATGGTTGGTAATTACTAATTAACATTTATTAATTAATAATTAAAATTACTTTTAATCATAAGCTATTTATAAATTTTGACCACATATAATACGGCCGATACGAACTGTACGTGATAAAACACATTGGTATTTATAAAAATAATCATATCATGGGCCAAAATTATATTTCTTTCAAAGAATAAAATTAATGTTCATGATTTATAATATGTCTTGTCACAAATTTAAAACTATTTTACTGGATCGGAAAAAGTATTTTTTTAATGAATAAAAAATACAAATAAAAGTATTCAGAATACGTATTCGAATACTTTAAAAAAAAAGTATTTAGAATAGTATTCGAATACAAAAAGAGTATTCAAATACTTTTATTCGAATACATTTATTCGAATACTTTACAAGACTGCTGACATCTGATTATGAAACGAAAACCACTGATTAATACAGAATATAATCAACCTAGTTAAAATTGTATGCGTGTGTAGCGCAGGGTGTCATTGTCAGATAGTAACGTGTCGGTTATAGATAGATCAATTGCGTACCTTAAGTTTATAATTAGAACGACATATTTGTTATTATAGGTTCGGGTTTATCGGTCACCGAACGAAAATGTCAATATAAACAGTGTCCGGGTCAATATAGCAAATTTATAAGCTACGTATAATTATTAATATATGATAGAATAGATTTCGGAGATAAGTACAAAAAACTTATCCATATAGACGGAACGAGGTTTTGGTCAAATGCGGTTACTATATTATGGTTAGGTATTTGAGTTCTTGATCTCTTATGATAAGGCCAAGAAAGAGACCTAGTCTATCATGCGTATTACGCATATCAATTATGAAAAAGTTTGGAAAAATAATGAGATGACCATTCTATAATCACAATATTCATAAAATAATATTATTGTGTTGTTTTTGTAATAGGTATGTATGTTATAAATAATGCGATGACATTCACAAAACGTCAACATAATATATCAGACAAGAGAAACGTGAAATGAATATAATTTGAGGAAATAAATTTTTTTATCTTATAAATCTACGTTAAAATGGCCCTGTTGCGCATTCTTTCTTTATGCTAGAAGATTTAAAGATTTCTATCGTCGGCATATCTTTGGGGGGGGACAAAGATTTCAGGGGGGACAAGTGCCCCCCCCCCCCTTGCACACTACAATTACGCGGCTGTGTGCATGACGTATAATAATATATACGTATGGCGAACAGTTGACGGTAGTGCTTGATGAGGAACAGCAAGCAGTCGTGCGCCGCCTTGTTCTGTCCCAGCTGCTTGGAATCGGGCAGACCGATAGTGGCGGCGGAGGCGGCAGACGACTGATGGTGGTTCCAAGGATGGTGGAGACAAGGACGACGAACGGTTGTGCGACGTGGCCGGGCTGGACGGCGTTCACCCGCCGACGGAGCCGCCGTGCGGGTGCAACGACGACCAGGAGCCGGTGTTGCCAAGGTGGAACAGCGACGGGGCCAAACACACGGCCAGGTTGCTGGCGGACATCTGGTTCACGTTGCTCCTGGACGAAACCCGGAACAGGAAGTCGAGCAGCGCGAACAGGGCTTCGCGGTGTTCGTCGGGCAACAGCAGCACCGTGTAATGGACCGCTTCCTTTTGCAAGTACACCGGAACGTCTATACGTGTTACGTGGGTACATATTTTAGTATGCGTATTATAGTATTGTATCGTTAAAGACAGGCTCCCCCGAAATCCACTCTAACATTAAAAACAAAATGTATAATCCTCACCGTTCGAAAACATAAGAAATATTATCCTAAGATTCCCATACCACCAAGATTTAGATCCAGACCTATATCATTTTAACCAATACTAAACCAACATACCACATCTGGCAACTTTAAACTTTTTGGCGGTAGCCTGGGTCGAAACAGAATACGATAAACAAAGCAAAACAGCGAATCCAAATGCAGCACGGGTTACTTTAAGATAACAGTTTTGGTCAGGTATTTTTAATAGTATTTAAAATTTAAAATTTATCTTCCTGTATATTATAATATATTATAGATACTAACTACTAATGGCCTCCGGTAACACACGGAAGTATTGCTTCACCATGTCGGCCACGTCGTAGGCCTGATTGTTTTCGAACTTCACGTCCTCCAGGTCGGCTTCGGTCAGTTGCTTTAGGCGCTGTATTCGGGATTTGACGCCAGGCTTCCGGAACAACCCCACGTGGTCGAGAGCGTTGTCTTCGGGCCACCGAAAAGCATACTGGACGAACGGTGACAGTGCCGAACCGTATTTTTGCACGTTGGCGATCAGCGGAACTCCGAAAACGGTCTTATCTGAAACGAATAACAATTATATAGAGAAAAACGATAAAAATAATAATGAGAAAAAAAAAATGTTTTCTACATAACAATAAATAATATCGAATTCATAAAGGGAATTCTATAATAATACGTTTCGTTTCATTGTGTGTTGGCCCCATCATCGCTTCTGTAGCGTACGTACCTTTGGGATCGGGCATTTTGGTTTTGCGCATAAACTTGGGCAATTCCCAGTTCCATCCGGTCCGGTGTGTCGGACAATACCGTTCTATTATGGCAGTCAGCTTGAGAAGAGTGAACTTCCGCAACACCAACAGCTGGCCAACCGTGAGCGACCCGACCATTTGTCCGGCCAAGGAATTGGGCCGATTTTTGGTCTTTTGAAAACTATGCCACCGAACAACTGACCCTCTGTAAATTATAAGACGTTGTAAGTTAAAACACACATATCGTAATACCTATGATATTCATCTAAAATATTTGTCAGTTTTATTTTTGGAAAATTAAATGCTACAATTAATTGTTTTTCAAAATAATACACCGTAATATATATATTGTCTGTAAAAATCACCAACCTAACGTGCGGACATAATTTGACCGGAATGTTCCCTACTATAAACGAGCGTGAAACGTAATAATTATATTATTTACTTTGATTTGATGGTTAGATCTTGATCGCTGTCTTGCACTGCGCTCGAAACCGAATCCACGCTGTCGTTGTCTAGAAATTCAATAAACACAATAAACGTTATTGAAGCGAGCACAAATAGTTGAACGTATAATGATGTATTCGGATTTTACATTTGTTTTTGTACGTGCGGCTGTCTTGACTGCCGTTGGGAGATGAGAATTCGTTACTCCCGTCAAGGGCCATGAAATCCAGCAGCGGCTATTTAGACGACAAAAATGTACGTGATAATATATAATATTACGATCGACATTACGTCTAATTATTATACAAAATTATGACGTGCATTGCCAAAATTTTAATCAATCGTCATTGTTACCTTGGTGTTGTTGCTGTTGGCGTCCGTGTACTCGTTTCTCCACGACAGTTCTGAATCGGAATATGCCAGCGAGTCTAGCGACTCGGGTTTGGCCAAGAACCGTTTGGTCTTAGTGTGATCGTCGGTCACCGGTAAATCTGGCGGTGTCACGTCCACGCAGTTAAGTTCCTTCATCCGTTGTTGCATCGAACCCATGTCTATGATCTGCGCATACGAGAGGAAAATCGATGCATTAAAACACGCGTTGAGAGACGGCTTTTGGTTCAAATCGAAAACGTATTTATTTAATTTTTGACGAGTACGGCGAATAAGAATGTTCAAAAAAAAAAAAAAATTGCAAAAGTAAAACCGGTGATGACAAAAAATGGTATAGTTCTAATGCAGTTACGTCTTGGAATATAGTAAAATAGTACTGGCATATGCAGTATAGGTATATAAGGTATATATTATACGAGTTGTAATAATATATTATACATGCATGCAATCGTAAGTTAATAAAAAACCATCAGCCTGACCGAAAGATGCGTAGCTGTTAAAAGAAAACGAATTACAGAATACATCTCGTCATCATCTCGACAAAGATATTAGCCATAGATGGAAACGTACATTGGACATAGACAGTGGCGCCCAACCCTATTACTAGGTGTAGCGGTCGCTATACCTTGAAAATAAGGGGTGGGTAGGTATAATAACATAAAATAATTAACTTGAAATATGTTCATTATTAGTCACAGATTATATTGATTGATACCTCAATATTTACTAATATTATCAATTAAAATATGATAAAATGTATGAATAAAATAGTTTAATTTTGAGTTCGTGAGGGGGTGGGTAAAATTATTTCTTGCTACACCTGAAAAATATATCTTGGGCGCCAATGTACCTTAATATATATAATATATTATATATAAAGCTGGTATATAAACTGCTGTCGCATTGCTGTATTATCTCGCACATTACGTGGCGGCGGAACGGTTAGGCCCGGACGATTCCAAAGTCACGATTTGCTCCGACCGGAAATCGAGATCGAAGGTTTTTTGCTTCTCATTCTTCTTCTTCTACTTGTACTTCTTTTGACGACGGTGTCGCCGACGGGTAAGGGGAAGGTGGGGTGTCGGAGAAACGTGCTCGTGCAAAACTTAAGACCCTCTGGCCACGGGAAAAACAGTTCAATAGACGCGCTAATGAACCGATGCCGTCGGACGAAGACGCCAGTATATGCGTACAATATATATATTACATATATTATTATAATAGTTATTTGCTGACGTTCTTCACCACGGCCGGCCGAGACTGGTCGTGTTTCATACATGAACACACACACACATATATATATATATCACTGCAGTATACATATAGTATAATAAGGTGCAGTCTTCGATGTGTCGAGTACACGATTTTCTCAAAATGAGTTTCACACATTTTATCCTCCGTGATCGTCGAGCGATCGGGAACTAAAACTTTCGGACGGTTCTGTGCTCCGTATATATTGTACAGCAGAATTATAATATGGCACCACGTGACTGCGGTGGTGTAAAGAGGTGATGGTACAAAGTATAAACATGTGAAATATAATATAATTACTTGTATCATTCAATATTATATTTGTGTAAAAATGTCCATCCACCGACGACGAAGATAATGATTTAATTATTATTATGGTAATATTATATTAATTATCGGCTGCTGCGGCACGATGCGTACATCAACAAGTGCATTCGTATACGTCATACGATTCATATCTGTCGTCGTTTTACTCGATCGCTGCACAGTAAATCTATTTTTCCGGCAAAGATCACCCAAAATTGAGTGTCAAATTCAAGTGCTCATATAGCAGAACTCACTCTTATACGGATTTCAGCTTACCGAGGATTTTTATTACCGAAAACGTCTACTTTCGTGATAAATAAAATTGCCTATTTACCGCATTACGTGATACAATAAACATCATCGCTGGTGAACTCACCAATACACTATAATTAACAGCCATCTCTTGAAATAGTAAAGTACTATTTTGTATATAATAATTACTATACATTTATAAACCAAACGTGAATTATTATTGATACAAACCTCATACACGGATGCTCTAACCCCCCAGCTACGAAAAACTTATCCATAAGAAATAGAAAACCTCCTCTGGATGACTGGATATCGTATACTATAATATGACAAGGAAATCAGCTGTCTATAGTGTACCAATGGAAAGGAAAACGCAGGCTATAGTGAAACCGTGGCGTAAAAAATGAAACACCGCTCCGTTTCCCCAGCCCGCCGGCCATGTACCGTCGATTCCTTATAGCGCGACCAATCGCGTACCTTCGCAGTGGCGGCGGTCGGTTTTAAAACGTTTTTCGTTATCTCCTGTTTTCCTATCATTTCACCGATTTTTGAAATTTTCGGAAAATTAGCTATTTTACACGATTTCGACCCTTTTCGCCCTTTTTTATACTTAATTCGAAGCCGCCGGTGTGCGTTTTATATTCGTGCGCCGTCCGAAGCGGTCGCAATGTCGATCGAAAAATACACTTCCAACCGGACTTTTTTGACGATTTTTTCCTTTTCTCCCACCGTTTCGTCTATTCGCAAGCCGTTTGTGCCCGAATCGTGTAGTCGACGTCTTTTTAAAGCCGTTTATATGCTCTTTTCCCCCGAAATCGGTTCGTTCGCCTCGCAATCGCGTTTAGAAGCGACCGACCGACCGTACGCGTATATATACATGTACCTATATACGTGTATAATTTAATTTTTCCCTATGATTTAATAATTAACGGAAAACGCTTTTCACACGCCCCGTTAAATATATATATGGGAGATGCGCGTATTACAATCGAATTATATGCGATAACATCGATGTACATCAAATATATCGGTTTACGTCGCTCCGTAGACGCATGGCTTAAGTGTTGATGTTTTGATCGTATTTCACATCCCAAACTGTATCCAAGTAGGTTAGGCGTTAGGTAGGAAACACGTAGGTCCCGGGTTCGATTCCGTCGTACGCTGCCCGAGCGTCGAATCCGGCATTGCCATAAGGTCAACTTCGCCGCCCGGAACCTGACTTCGTTGCATTTTTTTTTCACGTTATTTTTCATATAAATTAAATAATAATATAATACAGGAACATATCGTACATTATTATTATTTAAAGTCATTGTCATATTATATCACACAATAAATAGGTACATATTATATTTGTTTTGTTAGGAATTATTATAATTGCATAATTTTTCAAAAAGTCCATGATTGTTATATAAATATAGTTTGTATTTTATTTCGAATTGCCTACTTAGGTGGCTAAATTGAAAGTTAATCGATTTTGACTTGAGATGACTGACTTGCTAGACATTCCAACACGATTGTCGACTTTACACTTTTTACATAAGGAATGGCACCGGACATGCGAAGCCATATACCACTCTATGTGATATACCTACTATATATAGGTGATAGACGGATTGCTCATTTTAGTTTCGTCTTAAACGGTGATGATTGACTTGACAGACACTTTAACAGTTTAACATGCAGGTTTTTGCATTTTTTTTTTAAATTAATATATATACATTATAGGTAGTGTTTATATGTATTGTATTGGTTAATATAATAGTATGTATCTAACTATCTACCTATAGGAATTATAATTGCACATTTCTCAAAGTGTTCATTGTTATATTATACCACACAATAAATACATATATTTGTTTGTATGTATATTGTATATAGTTTGAATTTTTCGTAAATTATTTCGTAAGTTGTGTGATAGGGTATTCACTTATAGCCGCTTGACGTCGGGTCTGCAATCCACCGCAGGTGGATTGCCTACCTGATTTTTTGTAGCACGTTGTCCGCGATCCGACGAAGTCGGATTGCCTACCTAAGTGGCTAACTTGAAAGTTAATAGATTTTGTCTTAAGATGACTGACTTGCTAGAAACTCCAACACGGTTTTCGACTTTACACTTTTTACATAAGATAAAGCACCGGTCATGCTACGGCACATACCACTCTATGTGCAGGTATACTCTATATAGTATATAGGTGATCCTGGAGATCGTATCCAGCCTATCCATTTACAACGTTTGTGACGGATTGCTAGACACTCAAACTTTTAACATTCCCGCCAAAGCGTCTAGCCTTATCTCCAATCCATATCACTAATCCTTATCACAAATTCTAAACTTTCGTCTTACAACATTTGCGACTTTTATAATTCATTGTCTCCAAAATCGGTACCCACTCCCAGTGAGTCCAACGAGCCCCGAGTTACACTTAGAGCTAGTCTAACTATAATATCATAACAATAGATACTCATAACCACGTTGTACTATGTTTATTATCTATATTCAGATCCGTTCGAAATATTTGACGTGGTGTATCTATTACCTATCGGCTATTGTAACGTGGTATTCATATCAAATTTAATTCTAAATGTTCAAACAGAAATACTTGATATTTAAATCAGGGACTGGAACCTCACCGAAAAGAACCGGATTTAGAACCCTTGGAATATTTTGAACCGAAACTTCACCCAAACCCTTATTTAAATTAATTTTAATACCGGAACCTCACCGAAACCCATATTTAAATTAATTTAAAAACCTGAACCTTAAAACGGAACTGACACTTTTACTTGACAAATTTTTTTACATAAGTAAGATACCAAATCTGGTAACATTTATTTTATTTTTAATAACTGAAAAAAAAAATCGAAACATAAATGTTGGATTTTCTGAGAACCGAATAGGAACCGAAACTTAAATTTTAGTTATACTTTGAACCGAGTAGGAATTGGAACCATAAAAATCATCAAGGTTAAAGTCCCTGATTTAAATAACACAATTTACTCATCGGCATAGGCGCAATTTCAACTTTTGATTTGAAGGGGCTTAGCCCCCTCCCCCAAAGGCCCCCCATTTAACCAAAAATTTAAGTATTCAAATTATACGCACCATAGTCTTAAACATTTTCAAACATCAATACTGCAATAATAACAACACCGACTATCGAATCTATAAGCAATAGGTAATGCATTCAATCAATAATTATAGATATTTCTGTGTGTGTTATGTAGAGCCAAGCTGACGTATAATAAATAATAAACTGATTTGATTATTTTACAAAAGGATTAACTGCCATAATATGCCTGTATAAGTTCTTATGATGCCATTAACAAGATTCTCACATCAGAGGAAA